TGGACTGTTTTTGCGATGTTGTACATTTGCGACCAGGCATATTTTTACACTTTTATGGTGTTTGTGTTTGGCTGTAATTTTCCGCTCTCTCATTTACTGTTCCCATACAAATTATATATTGTTTTTTTCAGGACAAAAGGGGCTTTCTTTACATACCATTATTTATATAATCTCATGTATTTTAATTTAAAAAAAATAAAAAATATGATGAAAAATTGAAAAAAATACATGTTTTTTGACTTTTACTTGAAAAATCTTTTACTCATCTACAAAAGCGAATGAAAAAAACTGCTAAATAGATTCAAAATTTTGTCCTGAGTTTAAAAATACCCTGTGTTTACGTGCTTTTTTGCTTTTTTTTGCATGTTATAGGGCTATAGGTACAAGTAGGATATTGCGGTTTCAAAACATACATTTTTAAAATTTATCAATAGTGACATTGTAACACTATTATCTGTTATAAATCTCTGAATAACACCCCACATGTACATATTTTTTTTAAAGTAGACAACCCAGGGTATTCAATATGGGGTATGTCCAGTCTTTTTTAGTAGCCACTTAGTCGAAAACACTGGCCAAAGTAAGCATTCATATTTGTTTGTGTGTGAAAAAAGTAAAAAAACTAAATTGAACGCTAATTTTGGCCAGTGTTTGTGACCAAGTGGTTACTAAAAAAGACTGGACATACCCCATTTGCAATACCTTGGGTTGTCTTCTTTTGCAAATGGTATGCCATCATGGGGGTAATTCTCATTCCTGGGCTACCATACGCTCTCAAAGGCAACGTAACCAACCTGGCCATTTTCAATGTAAAAATATTTGACCCATATATTTGACCTTGTAACTTTCAAAAATGCTATAAAACCTGTACATGGGGGGTACTGTTTTACTCGGGAGACATCGCTGAACACAAATATTAGTGTTTAAAAACTGGAAAACGTATCACAACAATTATATCATCAGTAAAAGTGCAGTTTGTGTGTGAAAAATGCAAAAAAAGTCACTTTCACTGACAATATCATCGCTGTGATATGTTTTACTGTTTTGAATCACTAATATTTATGTTCAGCGAAGTCTCCCGAGTAAAACAGTACCCCCCATGTACAGGTTTTAGGGTGTCGTAGAACGTTACAGGGTAAAATACAGTGCTAGCAAATTAAATTCTCTGGACTTTCGGCCTGGGTTGGCAGGCAGGTCCCTCAAATTGCAATCAATAAAATTACTTAATTATGTAAAAATATTACATAAATACGCACGTAGAATTTAAATATATATGCATATTTATATATTTGAAGTCTACGTGTATATTTATATAATTATTTATGTAATTTTGTATATGGACATATGTATATTTCGTATTATTTTTATTTATTTATATATACATAGATATATATACAAATTCATTCTAAGTGTATTTTGATATAAATATTTATATATATTAATTTTAAAATACAGTTAGAATAAAATTTCATATAGATATATAATTTTTTTTAAATTTTTTATTATTATTTTAAAAAAATTATTTAATTTTAATTATTTATATTTTATAATAATATATATATACAATATATATAGTTATTATATATATTATAGATATACGTGTGTAATTTAATTATAGGTGTATTTTTATATTAATATAAGTACATATTAATATAAAAATACACTTAGTATGGCATTATATATATGATATATAGACATATTATATATATATAATATATGTCTATATATCATATATACACATATATAATTTTTTTTTTATTTTTTATTAACACTAACTTTATTTTATTTTTTGATTTTACACATACAGGGAGACTGCCTGTCAGCATAGACAGTCCCCCTGCAGGCAGACACATGGACACCTATTGTGACCATGTGATCGCTGTGTTGAGCGATCACATGGCCACAGGGGTCCTAATTCAGTGTGGGTAGACTGTCTGGGCTGCAGGCAGTCTCCCCACAACCGGAGCAACGCTGATCGCCACCGGGGGAACGACGGCGATCAGGTAAGTAACTCAGACTGTTAGGACGGTTCAGGACCGTCATCGGTCGGCAAGGCAAAAATGCCGATGACGGTCCTGAACCGTCCTCGGTCGTGAAGGGGTTAATCTTAATAATCTTAGTTAGTGAGATGGAGCGGTCACAGTGAGAGCAGCAAACTGAGGTAAGTAAGGTAAGTAAAGTTCACATTTCAAATCTTTACAGAAGGAGTGGGGGACTCCTAAATAAAACATTATCAGGGTTATTTCAGAAAGTAAGAATTCAGGGTTAATTAGAATTTTAGGGCCTGAATAGCTGGACTGAAAGCATAGCTGGAATGTTTGCAGTTAACTTTGAATTCACCTTGAATTCTAACTTTTGTAACCCTGCATAGCGTTAAGAATAAACATTTGTATTCCTAAGTAGTGATGTCCCAAACGGTTCGCCGAACAGTTCACCGGGGACTCATATTGAGTAAACTTTGACCCTGTACCTCACAGTCAGCAGACACATTCCAGCCAATCAGCAGCAGACCCTCCCTCCCAGACCCTCCCACCTCCTGGACAGCATCCATTTTGTGTTAAATATGTTTATTGGTTCCATAACATATTCCAATGCAAACATACTATTTTTAATGCGAGTTAGTGCCTGCGCAGAGGCCTAATTATCTGTGTATGAATGGATTCACAAGTTGTTGCCTGCGCAGAGGCTCTTCCTTCATAACAGTTGTTGTATAGCATTCAATATAGTATCATAGTCAAGCATGGTCTCTCTAGGTGCCAGTAGGCAGTAATAAGACAAGTGAGTAAATTAAGGCTGATAAATTAAGAATTAACGTTAATAAACAGAACAATATGAAAGCAATATCTTTTGCAATCTGTATATTATAAACAGCGTAGTTAACACGTTATAGCATGCCGTTGTCCTTTGGCTAAATTAAGACTTAGTTGTTTGTCCTGTAACAGCGCTTAAACAGTTACGGTGCAGGCTTGCAACAATAAAAAAGGCGCAACAGTTAAGAATTGGCGTCCGGGTACATATTAGTAGAGGAGCAGGCTGGTAGTAACCCTTTGGGTGTCGCCCTAGAGTCGCCTAAGTATGATGTGCATTAAAGAAGTTACATTCTGAGAGTCGGGAGCTAAATGTTCCATCTAATCTTTGAGTGCGACTCCGTATGTGGTCTGGGCTTTAGAATGCAGTTGGTCAGGGTCTATTTGCGTGTTGATTTAACCAGGCAGTCACATTTAGCATTATGTAGTATAGACATGTGTGCCTACAGTATTTCCTGGCTTGTAGGTAGGCACAGGCCCTAACGCCCGCGGTCAGCTGCCGTGAGGGTAATATAGAACGTATCTACTTTATTAAAGATTTATATGCGGAGACCATTAGCTCGCTTCTAAAGCCCGCTGAGACCGAATATCCTTACATACTTATTCAGTTGTGGGCGTAGTTGTGTACATATGTGTAGTCGTTATATTACGTATCAGTCTGGTACGTGCGGTACCTATTGGTGTAATGTGTATGCTGTATCGTGAAGTTAGGGTCTTGGGCATGGGTCTGGGTATCATATCCTGTTACATTTCAGTTATTGAACAAGCCCTAATAAGCAGCGTTAGACTTATGCCCTCCGGGGCTCTTTAGCATGGGGTGTCGTCCTGTGTGGCAGTCCCAGGGCTCCCATGCCTCCGCTACAGCACAGTCCCAGGGTCGTCGAACCTCCTTCCATCTTCTCCCCACCAACTCCGGTCCGCTGGCTGTGTCCTCCACCGTGCCGTGGGCACTCAAGGGCTGAGGCTGACCACTCGACCCCACCACCAAAGTCTGTGACCCGCCCGCCCCCTGTACCTCCCCAACACCGTGTTGGTCCACATAGAGTGCGTTCCCCCAAGTCTCTCCCGCTGTCGACCTCACTCTTGGGGCCGGTCCACGTACCCCACGGCCACTGGTCCGCCGGATGGGTAGCACACTCCTGCCCCACAGGGCTCGCGGCAGCGGGGACATAGCTCTCCGGGGACCTCTCTACCCAGAGGCCGGGGTACTCACTGCTCCAGCGGGTGCCTGGTCAGCACGGAGGTTCTGTCCGGCGTCCACTTCATCTGTTCTTGTACGAGCAGCCCACGCCAGGTCCCCCCAATGAGTGCGTTATTCCGCTCCACCTTCTGGGTCCCCACCAGCTCACATTTTTCTTCTGTCCTGGTGCACCCTTTTCCACTGTGCCTGCCCCCCTCGTTTCTGTGTTCCGTTTTTCTGGCAGGACATTTTCTGCTGGCTTGCTGCTGCACATGCAGCCTTTGCCAGTGTAGGCGGCCAGCGCACACCGCACGTGGGAATTCCCACCGTGGCATGGGTCACCGCCATGCGGCCGGGATAACCCCCACCGGCCGGGGCGGGGGGGCAGGGCCGTGCCCCGGGCCGGGTGTGCAAAGGGAACCATCTGTGCGGCGTCTCTCCCGCTTAAATGTGTCGGGGCTGCGCCTCTCTGTGGCGTCCCGCCGCGTGTCGTTGTCTCGGCCGGATGCTCTGCCGCATGTAGGCCGGGCTCGCTCTCCATTGCCCGTCCAGCTTGTGGTGTGCTTCTTGCCGGCATCCGAGGTGCGCTAGGGTCGTTCCCTGTTAGTTGTTGTCGGGATAGCCGACTTCTTAGCAGTCATTTGTGCCTTTTGTGCCTTTTTGCTCAGGGTAATGCTGGAGCCCATGTATAATGCGTCTGTTCGGCCCGGCGGCCCGGCCCCGCCCCCGACAGCATCCATTTTGAAGCTGCATTCTTAGTGAGCTGTCCAGGAGGTGGGAGGGTCTGGGAGGGAGGGTCTGCTGCTGATTGGCTGGAATGTGTCTGCTGACTGTGAGGTACAGGGTCAAAGTTTACTCAATATGAGTCCATGGCGAACCATTCGGGACATCACTATTCCTAATGCAACTGAGTTCCATTAACTGGCAGAAAAGTTTTGGGATTAACTTTAATAAAATTTTGTTAGTTTTCATTCTGCTGCATAAGATTAATAAAAAGAAAAGAAAAACTCAATTTACAAGAATATTTATAACATGTTTTAATGATAATTCATATATATTTGTTAGTCACAGTAGAACCAGTAAAATTTAATTTACATTTGTAAAATCACAAGTATTGTACATGATAAAATCACAAGTATTGTTAAGCAAGCAAAGAAATTGGAAATTAGGCGACAATATACAATTCATCATATATATTTTTCAGTTTTTATTTATGAATTGCTCCAGGACATAGAATATCCCAATAACCATTATCATGTGGCCAAAAAGTCAAGAAAATGTCATACATTACAGAGCAGTTATATGAGAGACGAATAAAACAAGGTAATTTTTTTTAGTTTTTTGTTTTTTTTTACGTTTGTGTTCCTAGCGCGATTGAGTTCCTTTAAGTAGCAAAAATGTGTTGGGATGAACTTGTTAGTTTTCATTCTGCTGCATAAGGTTAATAAAAAGAAAATAAAAGCTCAATTTACAGGAATATTTATAACTTGTTTTAATGATGATTCATATAGATTTTTAGAAATTAAGCAACAATAAATGAATATATATATATATATATATATATATAAATTTTTATTTTTTTATAAAAAATTTTTTTATTTTATTTATTTTTTATTCATGACTTGTTCAAGGACAGAGTATATCACAATAGCCATTATTATGTGGCAAAAAAACAAGAAAATATCATACATTACAGAGCAGTGATATGAGAGACGACTTGAACAAGGAGTTTTTGTTTAACTGCTAAATATTGCCACTTGAGCAGAGTCAAGGACAACATTGGAAAAAATAAAAGACTGTAAGAAAACTTAAAATAACTTAGACAAACTAACAAACTAAGCTGGCCCTATGTGGCAATAAATTGCTTGCCTACACTGGGAGAATGCACTCAGTCAGACATGGGCTCTGCAGTCCAATATTTGTGGTGAGAGCTATTAGGAAGTCCTCCAGAGCTTCAAGAATGGCATGGTGGAGAAATCCCTAAAGACTCGCAGCCTAGGTAACTAGAGAAGAGTCCTGGAGAGTTTAAGTGCTAGAGCCCAATTTTCCCATTTGAAATGCACCATAAAAGGCTGAAGAGTTGGCTTGCCAATAGACATCTGTTCTAGATAAGCCTAGAACCTGGAGCATATGGCACCAAGGCACAGTTGAAGGCGACCATTTGTGGATGGCACATGTCCCCTGTCTATGGGTTCTTTGGAGATTAGACGGTGGCCATCTTGTTCATTTGCCATTGTGCAAGCAAGGACAGTATCGAAGGGTGCCTCAGTAAGGTGAGATAACAGCTGTTAAAGGAAGGACAGGAGTAGCCACTTCTGATTCGAATGGGGCAGGTAGGACAATATTTCAGATGATTGGTTTACTTCAGAGGAAGGGAGTGACTGTCTCCCCCACTTGCTATACAGGCTAGACCACAGTAGCTTCAGCTGCAATCTCTCTGCAGATAGTCCAAACCTCAGGGGTGATTTGCACATATAAGTCACCAGGTCATCGTATTAGGAGCAGATCTGAGCTGGGTGATACATTTTAAGCTGCTATTAATTAGTAAAAAAGTCAAAAAGTCTAAAAAGCTGTATTGTAATGCACCCGTCTGGCATGATGGTAAGGTCCCGCCCCGTCTTCATTGATATTTATTTTTTGATGAAATTATTATTTTTTTAGCAACAATAATTTCTGTAGTGCTAAATAACATGTGTATACATTTGGAAACATATTTTTACTCACAACATTTAAAAAAAAACAAACAAAAAAAAATAAGTAGAGTGTATTTTTTTTAATAATTTTTTTTTTCCTTTTTCTGCAACATCATTGTAAACAAGTAAACTTCAATTGCTTACCCTTGAATATTTCCTGTGACATTGGTAATCCACATAATTCTATTTTAAATTCTCAGTCACTGATGAATTATGGAGAAAAAATAATCCCAAAACATAAATCAATTAAATAACAAAATTAGCCTTCATCAACTGTATTTTCTCATTATTATGAGCCAATTATTATGAGAAGTCTTTAAGAACGGTGTTCTTTATTTATGATAATCCACAATGAGAGGCTTTTGTTTTCTGACTTTAGTGTTATTTTGAGTTATTTCTTCTCTTTGTGGCAGTCTGTATTCAAGATGATTTCAATATCTGTAATCGGTACAGATTCACTGGGAACAACAGGAACACATTTCTAAAAAGAAAACAGAAATTATATGGTTTACACGAGAGAAATCACATCTGACATATAAATTAACAAATGAGTCCCTAGATCGTTTCTAATCGAGTTAAGAATTTGACTTCTATAAGGCCTACAATAATGAACCCTACTACAAACTTTTGATGATGATGGCTTTCTACCAAGAGAATAATCTATATCTATAATCTATTACTACAACATATGTTTCCTTTCCTTTGCAAAAAATGGCTGATTTTAAAGTTACCTTATAGTAATATAGGCATCTTATTAACCCCCCACTTTTTTTGCTTATTTGTAGTTTTTACTATTTAATGTGGCAGTTGGAAAGCAAGCTAGTTTTTTAACTGTTTGCCAGTTGACTCCTAGAATTGGCAGCAAATAGTTTGATTTTTTTTTAATATTTTAATCTGGCCTTTGAGTCTGGCTGAAATACATACTTAATTCAGGGTCTCAAATAGCAAATGCTGGTTATTGTTGAATACTATGAACCATGTCCAGATTTTGCAATCTGAATGCCCCTGTTTGTAGCACCATTTGGTACGGGGCAATTTGGACTTTAGTGAATAACCCAGTGAGGGGGCTGGCATATTAGAATGGTGTGATTCTGATCACTTCAATATTGTTGCATGCATATTGTCCGGTGTTGTTTTGATAAGTATTGCACCACTAAAGACACTTCAAATTACAAGCTATATTCATACGTATTCTCAAATATTAAAAGCAAAAATCATTTTTGTTTTAAAACAGCTGCTTTGAAAACATTTGTGATATGGTTTAATGTTTGTTGATTTCTAGGAGTCCTGTTTAATAATGTGTATACACAGGGTTATTTAGTAAAGTTCAAACTCCTAGTCAACCACTCAATAAAAATGACCTATCTACCCCAATATCCCTGGTCGACAATGCCATCGGTGTGGACATCAGATGATGGCACAGGGGGAACTAGTGGACAATATCAAAGTGATTGGGCAGCAATAGCTGCATTTTAACTGGTTTTTAGTTACAGTAATGAGCCACTGACAGCATAATGTGAGGTAGACACACTCCCACCCATGGCATTATGTCATTATAAGGGAGATTTAAGCTGCCTTGTAGCAATAGGGGGGTCAAATGTTTAAATGTTGAAGGATATATGTGAATGGTGCTTCCACAGTGCTGACACAATGTTGGGTGTGAAAGGTGTTCGCCCAACACCCTTAATAACAAAATATACTTAGATACACAGTATGCAAAACACACAAAGTATGCACACCCTCACATTTTTAAATGTTATTTACTTTTATAAATGTGGCAGCAATTGCTGGCCAGCCACCACATTATTATGTTTCACACCGCCAAGGGTTTTTTCACTAATTGCCTTCCAGAAGCATTTGTTCCCTAACTGGTTTTAAATCAGGGCTTTGTACATTGTCTGGATCCTATACTTTGTATAGGGTTTGGATGCGAAGAGCACTGATTTTAAACCGGACACTGAATGCATCCAGTTGATTGGTGCTAATTTGGTAGACTTGACTGAATTCCAACCAGAATTGGCTTTAATAAATGTGAGGATTGCCATTTCAATTGGATTTCAATCATTTTTAACACATTTTGTGCATTGGTGTTTAATGTTTCCGAGATGTGGTCCACAACATCTGGAACACAAAAGGCTTCTTACACTTGGTTTACTGAAAAAATTCAGACAATGTCTTTCAGAAAACTGCCAATACCTGGGAATTTAAAGCGCATTTTAAATGTGAATCTAAATAGCATTGCTGAAATTGAAGCTGATTTGGAGATTTTTTTCAATTAGACTAATTTAGAATTTACTTTCAATTCACATATCCTTTAACAACATTTACAGTGATATAATAATTCTTCAGAGAAATTATATTTTTTCTGAAACTATTTCACTTCCTCCCACCTATCTGGAATGAATATTAATGCACACTCCTGCTGCTTTTCTGTGGAATTGGAATGAATTATGTTATTAAGACAATGAGCTTTAGCCCATAATGCTATATTCCAAAATCAATGTTGTCTACCGTATCCTTATCAAAAGCTTGCAATTCCAGATATATCTCACATATTATTTAATCCCTTACATTCCAGAGCTAAATATTGCTTAATTCTAAATTTAACAGACTTTGCATTAAAGTGCTGTTAAAACATTAGCAGGATTCTTCACTAAAGTGAGAATTTTAAGTTAATTCAAAGTGAATTTCAAATTTAGGGCCAAGATAACTCAATCGAAAGCATTATTGACTGTGAGAATTTCAATTTAGCTAAATTTGTTTTGGTTCTTATAGTGCCAATTTAACAGCACAATGCTTATTATTTTGGGGCAGAATTACATTTTGGATTTTGTTAAGTAAATGTGTAAATGGCATATTACTATAAAATATTAAATAAATAATATTTTGCAAAGTGCCAATGCGGGAAATGTTGAAACCACTTGATTTTGCATATTAGTCATTAAAAGAAGGAAGAATGTAATAAGAGGAACATCTCTCTGAAAGGTTAGCGTGTTGCAATGTATCCGGCCATGCTAGACAGGTTTTGCAATAAGCTTACTAATGTTTAAGTGGGTTTAAGGAATACTAGTATAATATAGTTAAAATTCCTAGGTAGCAGTGCATGTTGCCTCTTCAAAATATGTGCCGGTAACATAAAAAATGTTTATAGATCATGTATAAAAAAGTGAGAAATATATTGGCATAAATATAAATAAATATGCATTTGCATAAAGATCTGGAGAGTGGCAGATAAGATGCTGGAGAGATAGACATGAAAAGTTTGGAATTTAGGAAAAAGATAGGTAGTTGGAGAGTTAAAAATAAGGTTAGTTGCAACATTTGTGGAGACAGATAAAAAGGTTGAAAGTAGGCTTTTAAAACATGCCTGGAAATGAATAGCTGTAGGTTTGCAAAGTTGCACATATATGCATGTGTGCACTGTGGGCATCCTACAATTCAAGTAACATTTTTCTTGAATGAATCAGGGACACTCCCTGGCTTTAGTAATATCTGGGAGCCTGAGGATCTTTTATGACTTGATGTTTCTCCAGTAGCATCAATTAAGTGTAAGATGGAGCATAGAAAGCCCCTGCTTAGTATATTGAACACAGAAAGGCACCATAACTACTTCAAATGGTTAAAAGGCTTATGGTTTCTGGAGTATATGAGTGCTGGATCCCACATCAATGCCAAATGGTTCACTAACCATTTAGCAGACATGTTCATTCCCTGGCAGGCTGTACAAAATGTCGGAGTCAAAGTTTTGTTCTGTTTCATACCAGTGGTAGCAGGCTGTGATAGTTTGAGAACATCAGTTGAGCGCTCTGTCTACCACTGGCCCAAT